ATATGATTTATCATTATTGAACACCTTGGACTCCCAGAGTGAATTTCGGTAGTGCATCTACAAGTCTCACCGACAACATTTATTGAAAAGGCTGTATTCACTCCTGATAAACATTCTTCAAAGTCTAAGATCCAACTATATATAGCTTTCTCAAGTTTATACTTGTCCTTCAACAAAGATGAAGATCCAGTGCGATTTCTTTTCAAACGACGAAGTTGCTTAAAGGTACACGTAGATTTTCACTATTTTATACGTTCGCTTCTCAATTAACCATTTTATGTCAATATGTTTTCTCATTARAAATAGTCTCCGCCACATTGTTTTCAAAATTGCTAAGTGTATATCTACTATTTTCCATATTAAGAGTATGTTTCACTTCTTTTGCAACTTTTTAGCATATAAAGGGTTTTTTGTTATCTAAACATTCTCAATTAATAAGCCTTTTCAAGTGGCCAGCCATTTCACTCCTGGAAAGTTGTGTTTTGACAGCACGAAATGCCTCGCAAAGTTTGTTGAAATTTTGTTTTCTTGAAATTCTTCATTGTTGAGGACCACCTCCGTTATTTGCTTAGTTTATCCGACATTTCTTTCATTTTTTCTCCCTATTTAACCTCAGCTTGTCTTCATCAATTCTCCCCTCCGTTTTTTTTTTCAGTATTTTTGTTTATTTGTTTCTCTCATGTCATCTCTCCTCTTCTTTATATCGCCCTTTTCGCTTATTTCTTTGTTTCTATATCTCATTTTGTTTGTCCATCCTTATTMATTACATTTACTTCTACATTCTGAAATTCCATTTCTTTAACTTTTCTTTCTTCCCCTTTCCTTTTTGTTTCTCATTTTCTATAAATCTCATTGCTTTTTTCATTTATTTTTTCTTCCTTCCTCTCTTCCTTCATTATTTCTTTCTCGCATATTTAATGTTTTGTTATGATTCAATTTTTTTTCCTTTCACARTCATCCTTTCCTGTGTTCTATCCTTTTGCTTCAATCCACCATTGTTTTTTCCCGTATTTTCCGTCTATGATCTCGTTATCCTTTAATTCAATAATCTCACCTCGTTTCTCTATTGTACCCTCTACATTCAAGAACTTAACTCGTTCAATTTACATCAAGGCCTTGTAAACTTTCCTAAGCAAATCGTGCAGGATGGAAGAGCTTCGCATTTCCTTTCATCGCGATAAACACATTAGATTTGATTTACACAGGAAGCGCCGAGAAAAACCTTGAAAGGGGGCGTGTAATAGCAAGATAGATGGTTTCCAATCGCTTACAACAAAACACAAAGTTCGTACAAAGTGGCTAAGTAGGCCTACAGATCCAACCTTCACTGTATACATAACTTGGGAAAAGTACAAAAAAAGTCTATTTAAGTGAATTTTTGTTCTAAAGTTTGGCGGTGAGTACTTCTTTTGCGCTACGTTATCAGATATTCATATTTTTACTTTGACTATCGATCTTAAAAGCCCCAGGCTCGCTTTACATTGCATATGGGTGTATATCAGGCTGTCTGAAGTTATATCAGTAAAACGTCCATAATAAAGGAAGTTTAATAGAACAGCAAGAATAGAATATCAGTGATTGTACTATGCAAGGATATTTTCACAATTCTAAAAACGCGGCTGTGTCTGGGTATAAAGTTGAACCCATCAAATCCTCTGACATCAGTGATTCAGAAGTTATATTTCAATACTTGTAATGCGAGTTTAATAGATCATCAGATCATTGCTTTTATTATAAATATGTTTCTTTAATTTTAAAAGC